TAATTTAACCAATTAGCAATTAGTTACATGATTTCACTGTTCTTATTTCTATATTATTATAGGTCCAATGGAATAAATACTCTCGACTCTCGATACAATGAAGACGTTTTAGAAACGTCATAAATTATCTGGATGAAAAAAGATTCAGTATGAAACATAAGCAAGCATTGACCATATACCAAAAATTATGCTTATAGTATTATGGTATGTAGTCAATGATATAAGCCACTGAACCAAACTGGTAAGACTGCAAAATGTTATTTGATTAGGGTAAAAACAGCTCAAACCGTTTCTTTAGCGTTCTTACTAGGTATCAGAGTAAAATGGCATCAATTCAATACCTACTAACAGCTTCAATAAAACAATTTATACAACACAAAATCAGTCAAAATATTTAACTAGTACTTTTTTTGTGTACAATATAGGCTATAAAAAAAACTACAAAAGAACTGACAAAACCACGAAATTTTAAAAGTATAGACTGTATGGGCAATATTTAGAGGCGACTCAACCAGCGAGAGAGCAGAGCGTGCCACGATGACCATTACCATGACAGAGTCCATCAATCAATTGCGAAGTATGAGCGATGGACGGGTGTCACTTTGCGAAGGGTCGCGACTCGCGCGGAGCAATGGAAACCAAACAAGGCTCGCCACAGTGATAAGCAAATCGCCTCGCGGTCACACGGAGATAAGACGATAAGACGAGTCACTTAAGGTGATAAGTGCAGTCGTGGATCGTATCTTAACCTGCTAGGGCGTAAGTTCACACGGCGAAAGATACGTTGCCACATTTAATTGACCGGTTAACAAACCCCTTAAAAATATATAAACATAGCTTTTTTCCTTATTGAAAGATAAGTGTTTTTAAGTCACGTCGCAGTGACTTGGAGATAAGACAAGACGAATCACTGCAGATAATGCGATAAGACGAGCCACTTAGCGTGATAAGTGCAGTCGTGGAACGTATCACATCTAACCTGCTAGGGTGCGAATTTGCGAGAAATACATTACTGAAATTAATTTACCACGTTAACAGACCCACCTACAAAAAATATTTATAACATATGCGAGTATTTTCCCCCTTAGATCAAATTCCGTGAAGATCGGTCTTATCCCATCGCGTCGCAGTGACACGGTGATAAGACAAGACAAGCCGAGTCACTTGGGATAAGGCCTGCAACCAGTTGAGTGCCTTGTCACTTGTTAACCTTTTCATATATTAATTTGAAGAGCTAAAATACACTACAATCAATTAAATTTCCACGTAAGATATGTTTAACGGCAGATTTTTTTACCTTTTTGGTTTTGAACTAGTGTCGTACATTTTTATTTTCAAATGCAAGCTTATTCTAGTGTTTTCAATCACGCCAAAACTTTGATAGGCTCTTAAAAAAATGCGAAGGTAGAAAAAGAAGCAATGAACACATTTAATTGCTTTTTAACACCGACACCCACACTCGCGATTTTAACCCCTCTGTACCCACACACCCCACACATGGACATTGGTTACACAGATCAGGAGTAATGGCGACTGCGTATAGTAGGGTCCACACTCAGTTGTAGGCAAATAACGGTGAACCAAGCGCCAAATGAGCGTGGTAACATGCATGTCGGCGCATTGTGTACAGTAGGTCGCTCTGGTAGTGCAGTATACAAAGAGTTCGCACTTTGGTATTTTCGATATTTCGAAGTAAATATCTTCGCTTCAACGAGGTTTTCCCGAATTTTTTTATTGAGGTCAATAGCAACAGCAATACACATGTGAATAGCCTAATTTTTGAGTTAAACTTTCGTATACTTTTCTGGTAAAAATGTACCGTGGATGATTAGAACCAGGCAACCTAGCAGCTAAATACGATCAGAATTTATTATGCCACGATTTGTCTAAAACCACGAATACTAGACCGAGGGGTTGTCACTCTGTATAAAACTCTTCGTGATAATTCGATTCATTGCAAACGGGCTATTTACGTGTTAACGGTGATTTTTGGTGTTTGACATCTTGTTCTTGTGTCTATTAATGGCTAAACTTATGCCTGGGTTGGTAGAAATCCTAGAGATTGTGTTAAATTCAGTTTTTCCCTATTAGTACTGAATGTTATTTTATGCCTTAGTAAACTAGAGACTCCTGATACATTAGTGGATTAGTAATCATCTCGCCAATTAATGTACCGGTACATGGATTAAAAGTAAGCCTTAAATCCCTAACAGATATTACCCTATTATTGTACCTATTAAGTTACCGGTACTATGCGACAGTTGGGGTAATTGTTAAACCTCAGATAGCCAACATTGAACATTCATTAGCCTATAGCTTTAATATTGTTCTTTGTCCTAAGTAATAAATCTTCAATATTAAAATGGTAAGAGTTTATTTAACAGATTATAGTACGAACAAATTGACTCGCTGTAACTTAACTTACTTGATATAAGAAAGAACTACCTACTTCATTGTACTGTATACCACTTCACTGCATGATTTTTGCCATCCACAACATTGTATCCATTCTTGTAAACTGGTGTAAACCGTTGGGAAATAAATAAATAAAAGAAAGTTCTTTATTACGTTTCAGAAATTGTAATTATGATTGACTAAGTTTTAAAAGGACTCAGAAAGTGAACATGTACAGTAGTAGAGTACCTAAGTTTGCCCTGATAAGACAATCTTGGTCACTGGACTTAATGTGTGTCAACGTTTATTAATGCTGCATTACAGATAATGTAGGTAGACCCAAAAAGGAAGATAATGTTTAAACCCATATTTAAGTTAAGTTAATGCCATTAGGCGATTAATAACTAACAAGGCTAAGTAGCAAGTTAGTGTTGGATGATACAAACTAACCTTACCTAACTTATTATACCATAAAAATAAAGAGAATAAATATGTTACTCGGGTATTGGCCTAAGTTACTACAAAATGGAGGCCAAATACCAAACGCATTAGTAACTTTAACAAATTGGCAAATTCTAAAAAAAGGCAAGTTTAACAGTGCTGTCATAATTTGGCAAGTGTTCTTGTTCGTTTTCCAATTCATTTTATAAGTTTGTTTTTATACTAACGTTGTACTTAACTCAGTTAAGAACTTCATAAGCTTAACGTGATTTTGGGCTGCAGATTTTGACATAACTTTATAGCCTAAAGCTGGATATTATTAATTCTCAAAATAAGTTAAAAATAAGGTCATGTTGCCTACTAACTAGCACCTGGCCTTATGATTGTTAAATTATCAATTTTGTAGGTGCAGATAGCGGTTAAGGCCTAAGGGATTCTGGCCACACTCACTATGCAAATAAAAAGGTAAACTACTTAGGCTAATCAACGTTTTCGCAACAAAATATTTACTCTCTCACCAATGTAAACAATCTCCATTGTAAATTAGTGTTGAAGTTGGAGAGATTGGCAACGCAGCAGAACGGTGTTCAACAGGTGCTGCGTAGATCAAAACTTTAACTTCACACACAACACTTCACCACTAACACTTCAGCACTCATTTTCACGAAAAAACACTTAGAAAATTTCGAAATTTCACTATAAAAACGCACATAAACACAAACGCGACGCGAACGCGAACCGAAACCGACAATAGCAGAAGCGAAACGAACGGTTTACCAACTTTCCGGCACTGAAGAAAAAGAAAGACTGTTAGGAATTCGGCGATTGTTGCGCGCCTGGTGGACAACATTGTTACTAAACTGACAGCCAGACGCTGTTTCCAAAGAATGAGTGTCAAACAAACATAAACATAAACCACATAATAAGCCATGCGGGAAATTATTTTAGATCTTTTTCTATATTTGTATACATAAATTGGTTTATATACTTATAGAATAACACTTCTTGGTTAAAATTATGAGTATCTGTTTGCTGAAATTCTGGATTCGAAGACAGAGATAAAACATACGCCTTAGAAACAGGTGATGCAATGTGCAATACACATCGCAGTTGCGTTGTAACGGTTGTAGCTTGTTGTCCAACTATTGAAGGCTTTTTGAAACTGACTAGAAGCACAAGCTAAATACATAGAGCAGCATTGTAACTTATTATTATTGAGTAACTTATTCTTATTGGTTAATATATTGTCTGTGCTAAAAGAGTGCAAAGGTTCCGATGGCATCCACATAAATATTTAATATTGCATTACTCTTATGGTTTCACAGAAGAATTGAAGTCAATATTAATATTCTGGCTGTATGACGATTCTTAGAATTTCCAGTACAAAAAAATAAAGCTGTCCAGTTAGATAATGCACAAACCTTGTTCTTGAATAACTAAAATTATTTTCTAGTTTCTTTTTAAGCGCGAATGATTTTACAAAGTTTGTTTATCCTTCATAGGCGAAATTTTAGATATAAATAGCATTCGCCATATTTACACAGGATGATGAAATCACAAGTTTGCCAATGATATTATTCAAGATATTGTTGTGATTCATAATTATATACCATTTGTAAGTAAAACCACACCCATGTAAAATAGCATTATATCAAAGAGTACTTTGGTTTGTTAATACTATGGATTCAATACTGACCTTTTTTCACATACAAGGAAATTATGGAATTATTCAATCGTAATGAAAATATAACCTTTGATTATGCGAAACTAATTGTTGTGCTCGGATAATGAACTGCATAAATCAATTTATTGCCCATTATAGCAATATGGGAGACATTGTCAATAAGAGCGCGAGCTAACCTGTTAACCTCGGTACCAATAAGCGCATATAATACAGGTATGTACATGTAACATACAAAATATCACATTTATATATATGTTGATTTGAACAATTAAAAATGTGAAAAGGGTAAATGCTAAATATGCCAAATTTTCCTTTTCAAATTATTACATGTTAAAACGAGGTTCGATAAGCAAATTAGTATAAACAAACAGTGACCCATTACTACACTAGTGGGATATACAGTGTTATATCAATTATTATGTGAAATCTTCTTAACGAATTTGTACAAAACTTATAAACAGTTTTACAATTTTCAACATACTTTGCCAATGATCCTCCACCAGCTGACGGGCCAGCTCGTAGGGATGTTTCCTGGTTCGAGACGATGCCATTGGATATTTAAACACTTTTACACACACACACACGCACGGCACGCACACTAACGCGAGAATACCCGTGACATTGTGACAAACGACCGCGCGCTACTGGCTATCATCTCAGAGCGGCACGCCTTATCACAGGCGATAACAAGAGGTCAACTTCCAGGAATTTATTGTACACAGCTTCATTAAAGTGCCCTTGTTAATTGTTTCGATGTCATAAAGTTGACCGCTTTCATTAGGGCTAGAAACTTAAAGTATTTTCACAACTTTGATTGTTCGTGTTAAGTTTGTTTGTGGTATTCTTGGTGCAGTTTATTGCTCCAAATCTTTACTTGCTATTTTTTACTTCCACGTCAAGTAAAATAGTTGCATCACCTCAAACAAAATAGCATCACAGACTTTTACATAGTACTGTATACTTATTTGGTTTAATGTTCACATATTTCAAAGTAGTTATACATTTTAGTTGAATAGAAAAGGTATATATCTAAATTCAAATTTGAGGATGATATTCTACAATTAATTGTATATAAGATATTGCTATTCAATTTTTTTTAATAGCAATCATATTTGATATTATCAATGCGGCAAAAAATTTAAAGTTGTAGATGTTTGGTAAAAAAAAGATTACAACCGTTAGTAAACAAAGTTTAAGTAACTAAAATATTTAAACACAAGTTTTGTCACGAATATTCTTCGGAATAGGTTGACAATTAAAATTCGATAAATTCAAAAATCTGCTACTGTATCCTACAAAACAGTGACATTATAAACCTGTACCCGTTCCTACAGCAAATTCATAAACACCCAAATAAAGCAATTTAGAAACACCATATAAAGGCCGAGTATTTACCAGTTAAAATGATAAAATATTTTATGTATTTTTGTATACCAACATAATGCATTGCTCCAATAAAGATTGTCCCTTTTAATTTAGCCACATCGCCGCAACAATTAACTTGATCAATGCCTCCTGCAGTAATCAATCAATTTGTCAAATATCGAAATCAATTAACAGTTAATGACCCGAATAATGGGATGTAGTCTAATACTGATAATGGAGCAGACCTCAGTGTCAATTTACTAATATGATTATGTAATCTGTTAAAGTCGAGAGGAATGGGTGCGTCAAAGCATTTACTGAAAGTTGTCACAAAATTACGCAAATTATTTTAGGTTGATGTTATATTACGCTGGGAAGACATCTAACGTGTCTTGTCAGTTGAACGGAACAGGATTTCTTTGCATGGAAAAATTTGGGTTAGCGCAGAAAAGAACTCGCCTCATAAAGATTTGCAAAAACCTTAAAAGTGAGCAAAACACCCGTGAATGGTAATCTCCGTTTGTAATTCACTGATTCTCGCAGCGAGGCAGAAATATTATAACATAAATATAATATAATAATACTTATATACATTTCTGTGGTAAAACATACAACCACGAAGCAGTGTGTCGTACTGAAGAAGTGTCGTTCTAGACCAACTTCCGAGGTTGTTAAAGCATTTATTTATATGTTTTAAGAGTTTTCATTATTTTTTTACAAAAATATTTTGCAATTTTACGAATATCTGACTGAATGTATAGTCGCAATGTATGTATACATTTTCTCCCACTAATGTATACTATTGAATTTGAACACAACCTTTGAAGGAGGGATCATCCTACTAGGGAAGCTAAACACAACCCGTTTATATGAATAAGTTTAACCTTGCATATTCTGTAGCCTAATTGGTCTCGACAACAAATCCGTGTACATTTGAAACATGAAGACTTTTGGCTTGTAAGTTCGGTTACATGACACAGTAGTTATAATTTGACCGTAGTTCAGAAGAGCCTGGCGAGTTGCCAATTATTGACTTGGTCATATCTCTTCCACTAAGCTGAACGAAGAACTAGTTAACCTATTTCCTTTGTTCTTTTACGGTTGTTTTTCAGGGAGCGCTGTTTTGAGCTAACGTAATTTCCGACAAAATAACAATTCACGAGATTTTACCAAGAGGAATCCTCACACCACAGTTTTAGTAATTATGCACTTTATTTAAATTACATTGTAAATTTATATTGGAATTGCACAACTACTAATCACTCAATAATAGCATACGTCTACGTACATTTTCGCTTTAACTAAAAACTAGCTGATTGCAGATAACGGTCGTGCATTAATTGCGCCCAAGAGTTTCTTTATTGCGCTAAGTCCTCATAGGGTCCCAAAAAATGTTCCTTAGTTGCGCCAAGTCCAAGCCAGGTAGGGTTGAGGTGTTGGCAGAAGAGATGTCCTTTTTTACATGTCATCCTAACCTATCCTAATCTAACCTAATCTAACATAACTTAACCTAACCTAACCCAACCAAACCCAACCTAACCTACTTAATTATACAGTCAAAGAGGACCGCCACTTGGTGCAGTTAATTGGGTGGGTCTCTGGAGTAGTTGGCGCAATTCAGGAGTACCCGAATACCTGACTAAGGTAAGTGGGCGCAATTAACGCCCACCCGCAGATAACACTTTTACAAAATATTGTAAAATAGAATACAAACAAATTGAGAACCGTGAGTTATTAATGAGCCTTGATAAGGGTGACGTATACTAAAATTGTTATTGGTTCAAGAAAGTGGATGATAAGCTGTGAAAAGAAAGACTCTAACCTGGAAGATGTGTCCTGAAGGGAAGTCTCATGACGACTCCTGGATAGACAACCCCAGTCATAACAGGAATAGATCTGATGGAAATAGAGTAGGGAGGGTTGCTGCACCAGGGGAGGTGGAGACAGTTTATAGCTGTCATTGTGGGCAATTACATGTATCTGTCTAAATACATTGATTGTCATCATAAACAATGGTGATTCCGGGTGAGGGCAGTCAGGGTGGTCTTTGGTTTGGAAAGAAGAACATCTTACAGGCAATACCTAACTTCATTACAAATGTTAACATTTCCCTTAATATACATTTTGGAAACTTTGATTCAAAGTTTCCTATTCACATTCCTATTCACTACGTAACATTTCTCATCTTAAATTGCCATCTCACTTTCCACATTTTCCAAGAGACACTTTCATTACAACGGCATTAAACTTTTTATTCTACTTCCTCCATTCAGCTGGAGTCGGACTTGAACCGCTTTAAAAGGCAAATAAAATCTGGTATCGTACGATGCATAACGAAACTAGGAAAGTCTACAAACATATTTATGATAACCCAACCCAACATAGCGACCAGTATAAGGGTTGCCTCCGTTTCAACTCAATCCTTGCCGACATCACTACCTTCTGGCGGGCAGAACTCAAAGGCCGCTAATCGTAATCAGGTCAAATTTGGACAGTAAATGTCCAGTAAATGTAAATGGACTGCCGTCCATGTCACCGGCGCTGCTATACAGTTCAATGTGTTCGTATTGCTGTAGTTTCAGTAATTTAGTACAATTAATATCGTGATTCGGATATTAGATGAGGATTTCAATATTAAAAATTGTATCGTAAGTAAGTCAATTGAAGTATGTCCTTTCCATTATATAGTTATTTTTGGTCTCCGGTAAATAATCCCTCTAAAATAAGTAGTGGCCTCCGTATAATACCAAAGTACCAAAAAGACTCTTGATTCGGATATTAGATGAGGATTTCAATATTAAAAATTGTATCGTAAGTAAGTCAATTGAAGTATGTCCTTTCCATTATATAGTTATTTTTGGTCTCCGGTAAATAATCCCTCTAAAATAAGTAGTGGCCTCCGTATAATACCAAAGTACCAAAAAGACTCTTGACCAACCAAGAGTTCTACAGTGTCCGTGATTGTGTTGCTGATGGGTTTTGTTAGACTATTTTAAAGGAGGATATCACTGGTATAGTTTGATTAAAGCACCATTGTTTTGTTTACGAAGTTCAAGCAATGAATACACTACAGTAGGATCTATTTATACGGTAATATCACAGAGGGTGGGCGATGGAATTATGGATTTCAATTAAGACGAAGCCAGCAGGGTTTAAGTTAAAAATTTATTTATTATTTGATAAAAAATAATACATAAAGTAATTGCCAGACAGGTAGTCATAGAAGCCAGTTTCAATGTCTTGAGGATTGGACCCAGAGTTGTGCCGATTCTGGATACATAAGCTACTTTTGTCATCATTGGGCTATATTATCTATGATTAGTGCAAAACGAGAACCTAACTCCTACCCAAAGCAAAACTGAACTGAAATAACTTAAACTAAACCCCGAAAGTGACCCAAAAGTTGGAACCAAATGAAAGAATCGAGCTGGGCCAGATGAATTGTAAACCCGAAAAGACATTTAAGGCCCATCTGGGATGTAAACATAGGCTTCGGTGTGGTCTCTCACACAGGCTAAACATAGCCCTGCGTGTGTGTGAGTGTGGCCTTGAATTATCACCTGGCTCAGTTCCCGCCGAGTCTGTCAAAGTGTGAATCACCGGCGAAACCGAGATAAACACTAACATCTGACTACTAACTACAGCCAATGTGCGAACTTGATCCTACTAATATTATAAATGAGAAAGTTTGGATGTATAGATGTATGGATGTATGGATGTATGTTTGTGACAAGTGAACGCGAAAAATACTGGTCGGATTGGGCTGAAATTTGGCATGATGATAGCTCACATTCCCGATTAACATATAGGCATATTCTTATTTCAAAAATCCTTTCGGGCTCCGCCCCAGTGGCTCTGGAGTTTCCCATGTTAACCTTATGAGAAATGGAATTATTGAATCTTAACAGCTGTTTCAACTAAACAAGTTGGTTCTGTTCTATGATGTTCAATAGCATTAAAGTTACAAGGATTACCAACAGGGTGCAGCACTATTATTTCTTTTACATTTATGACAACAGCTAATTTGCAACCAAAAGGTGAGTGAGCGTAGCGAACGAACTTCAACCTGGAGGCGAGTTAGCGTAGCGAACGAGCTCCAACCTAAAGGTGAGTGAGCGTAGCGAACGAGCTCCAAACTAAAGGTGAGTGAGCGTAGCGAACGAGGTCCAACCTAAAGGTGAGTGAGCGTAGCGAACAAACTTCAACCAGGACGTGATTGAGCCATGC